AGGTAGAGAGAGATAGTGGAAGAAGGTTTACGACACAGAGGCGAGGAAGGAGGTGATTGTGATGAGGGTAGTTCGGTCACAAAAAAAGTCAATATAAGGTTAAAGGGTATTATAGTCATTTAACACCTCAAAAGTATTCTGACTCGGTCAAAAATTGACCTTGGGGTGTAAGTGAAATGTTAAACTACTAATTCAAATATAAGTGAAATTTAAAATCAAAATGTTAATATAGGTGAGATATGACCTAACCACAGGAGGTCTGAGTGTAATTTACCCAAATTTCAATGGCTTCAAGTTTTATGACCAATGACTCACACCCAAAGTTCAAGTAACTCCACCTTCAACTTTTGAAAGAAAAAAATTGAATAGAAATGAGCCAAGAAGGGATGATTAAGACATTCTAAGAAGTGATTAAGCGTTTTTCTGTTAGGTCAGATGGAAAAGAATATAAAAATTGATAATTTAATTTGTTATACGATAAAAAAAAATAATAATAATTTTTAATGATTTTTTTAAAGTTATTTTTATCATTAAATTCATCACTTGCTATTTATTAAATATTTTATGAAAGGTATTGTAGTAATTTAAAATTTTTATAAAAGGCTCACTCTTCTTCTTCTCTCCCATCTTTCGTTCATATTGGATAGATGAAAATTTGTGAAGGAGATATTCTTTGGTTCCATATATCATTTTTACCTAACAAATAAAATTTATTCCTTCTTTCCTATTTTCCTTTGAGCCCTCTCCTATCTTTTCTACCAAACATAAAGTTAATACTCCGTGTTAGTCGTCAATCGTCATAGCATCATGGTGTATAAGAACAGTTATTCACTTTATTTAGATAATCATGTCAATGTTACAGTTAGTCATTTTATTTGAATAGTATAATATTCACTTGATTTATTTTATTATTTTTAAATATTTTAATAATTTTTTAAAAATTTTATTTTTTCAATTGTTTAGTTATCTTTTTCCCAATGGGTATATAAAGTTATAAATCAATCATCTGTTTTTTTATTGTAAAAAGTCGTGGAACATTCATGGAATAAATTTGATAACGAAAATGTTTAAAACTAATAATTAAAAAAAAAAAAAGGGTAATTTTCATATTTGTTGACAAATTTAAAAGAAAGGGTTAATTACAACGACATCCTCTGAGGTTTGACATATTGACAGTCATATATAACTTACACGTTTTTTGAACAATGATACCCCCGTGAGAATTTTGATCCAAACAAGGCTTTAAAATGTTGAAAAAGACGAGATTGCCCTTCAATGTTTAATTCATTTTTGTGATAAAATATTAGAACTTATGAAAAGTCAATTTTGCCCTTATATATATACACTATTACATCAGCACCATCATATATGTGTAACCAAGTCCAACAAAAAAGCATCGCAGCACCATCGCCAACCACAGCTGAGCTTCACCTCCCTCGCCGGATCTGCCTCATCGGTCCACAGCCCGACAACTTCAGACCACATTAACCCCATTGAATTAGCTGATCTTACAAGATTGATCAGGCGGGAGTATGACGTGGCTGGAAGAACCGAACTACCATCTGGTTTTAAGGGCTTCGCTACTTATCTCAACAGATATCACCCTCGGCTAAGGGCGGAGAAAAGCTCCTGCGGATCAGACGACTAGGAATACAAGCATGCCCAGAAGGATGCGAGTTCCATTTGACGAATCAGAGAGGTTTAAGCACGCTCTGTTGATTTTTTTTTATTTTTTATTATTGGTACGTGAGAGATTGTTGTTCAATATGAAAATAAGTCAGCAACGGATGTTTCGGGGGAAATCGGCGCGATCTGAAAAGAGTTTTTCTCCTTTTCGGATGCAAGTTCTACCTCCACAAACAGGGAAGGTACTACAGTAAGTGTTGACGGCGGACCCACCGGTCGAGCTCGCCGTAGCTTTCATCGCCGGTCGTAGATCACAGCCGAGTTCTCCTTGCCCGCCGGTGGACATCATCAAAGCCGAGAGTCCCTGCCGGTGGACATCCGGATCTGTCTCACCGATCCACAGCCAATGGCTGAGCTCGCCGTCGCTCTCATCGCCGGTTGCAGATATCCACAACCGAGTTCTCCTTGCCCGCCGGTGGACATCATCAAAGCCGAGAGTCCTTCCTCGCTCACCGCACAGTTAACTAGTTCGTCTCTATCGGCTCCATCAAGCCGTCACAGCTAGTCTGTCACCGTTTTACTGTAGTTCATCCATAGCCGCCTCCACTCTCTCTACCATTATCGCCCATGTTCATTCTTTCAAGAAATATATATATATATATATATATATATATTTTTGCCCACAAAATTGAAGAAACACATTGGATAGGCACAGAGAAAACATTGATTATTACTTATAAATAAAAAAAATTAATAGTATGCAATAATTCTCACTAAACCCAATTAAAATTTCTCTGTTTCGTTTTTTGGTGGAGGTGGCAGTGGTGGGTGGCAATGGTAGAAGTGGTGGTGGTGGTTTTGGGGGCAAAATTTTTGGGTTTTTCAGTGAGAGAGGATAGAGAGATAAAATTGGGATTAATAAGGGTAATTCTGTCATTTGAAGATTTGGATATTTTAAATCAAAAATTAGTATTTTATTGAAGGGCAATCTAGTCTCTTCTCACCTTTTAAGGGTCTGTTTGGATCAAAAATTCTAATAGGGGTGTCTTTGTTAACTTTATCAAACCTAAAAGGGTGTCATCGATCAAAAATGGTCTAACTTATATATTCCTGTCATTATGGTAAATTTTGGAGGTGTCATTGTAATTAACCTTAAAATAAATAAATAAAAAAGCATTACATATTATTTGTGACGAATAACATATTATTTTACAATTTATAACTTCTCATTTATTTGTAGACATTATACATATTTTATAGGAAATAAACAAAAAAAGACATTTCATAAATAAAAATCAATAATTTAACATCATAGATTAAGACAATAGAGTAACATGCAAATGTCAAAGGGTATTTGCAAATAATTAAAAATTTTATTCTTCTTCTTCTTTTTTTTTTTTTTTGTTTTGTTTTTTCATGTTACCCTGCCCAATATTAGAGCATTACAATTGCTAGAGGGCATAATGGTCATAAAAGTCAAAATATTAGTCATGTGCAATGCACATGACAAACATCTGATGAAGGATACAGTATATACGAAGGATTGGTTCGAAAAACTTTTGACCATACTAATTAATAAGTTATCATAATTGTTATTTCAATTAATTTAAACTGTCAATTACAGCTTTGAAAAGCTCAACAATGATCACAGTAGTTATAATGTAATTTTGTCATATATTAATTCCCCGGAGGGATGAGAACTGTCTTCTTTTTAATACTGGACTTGAAAAGTTTTACAATTCTGGAGTTCAATTCAGAGAGGCTAGTAAAATTGTTAGAGATAAAGGGCTTATTTGGCCTGTAATTATAAAAATAGTTTTTTATTCTTCAGAAACTGAAAACTGTACAAAAAAAAATTATGAGTTTGTTTGGAATGAAACTTTAAGAATGTTTCCAAGAATAATTTTCAGAGAACAAAAACAGAAAATAGTTTTCAATTTTCTGAGTTTCAAAATTTACTTGGTTGGAAAAACTTCAAAACAATTTTGAACGAACAAAAACTCAAAAAATTATTTGGTTATCTAAGAATTGCCTTTTGAACTTAAAGAAGGGGAAAAAAAAATATCAAGGATATATGTTTACACAATAATCTCTTTTATTAAGAAAAAATTATAGAAAATTAGGTAGAGAATTTTGATATATTAATTACTAATATTTATTAATAATAAATAAAAATACATTATCAAGTATTTTGAAAATAATAAAAATGCCGTACATAAATGCAATAGCTCAAGTTTAGAATATAAGAATTAAGTGTGAATTAAACAGACACTTTAAAAAACTATCAAACTTGTATATAATAGATTCAGAAGCATCTTTTTTTTTTCCTCTAATTTTCTTTTTATATTCAATAATTTTCCCATAAATAATAATAAAAAGAAAAAAACCCATTTAAGCATTAAAATAGATAAATTGGGTAAAAAAAAAAAAAAACCCCATTTAAGCATTGAAATAGATAAATCGGGTAACAAATGAATCCTTACAAATCCTCCTCCCTTCTCGGCGACCTCTGTAAATCAGGTAACAAATGAATCTTTACAAATACCCCTCCCCTCTCGGCGACCTCTGTTCTTCGATTTCTTGTGCCTTCGCCACGGCGGTTATGAAACCCTAACCTCTTTTTCTTCTGACATCACGTTCGCCAATTTGGTTATGAAACCCTAACCTTAATCCCAACTCGATGTGTTGGTGAACGCGAAGTTGGGCTTTCAGGAGACGGTATGATCATCAAATTGAAGATCGATCCTGAAAAAGATTTAAACAGACAACGAATCCAAGGCCTGGAGATGAAATTCAGAAACAGATTAGGTCTTAAAGATGTTCTTGGCTTCTTCTCCTCCCAGTTCACTACCTTGGCATTCTTCGCCAAAAAGGAGAAGATGAACGATGCGATGACTGAGTAATTGCAAGTTTCTATGTGTAGAAATCGAAAATATTGGTAACAGGGCCGAAGATGAAGAGTTCAGCTGTAGTTAGAGAGAGAATGAGGGGGAAATGAGAGAGAACAATATAAACGAGGAAGAGCTGCGCCTTCTTTTAAGTGAAATTTGTTCTCCGTGTTTTCAATAAATGAGTTTTGGTGATATGAAAACTCTGAGAACACCCGTTTTTTTTTTTTGGTTCTCCAAAAACTTTACTACTCTGTTAACTCAGTTCTTCAAAAACAATTCCAAGTAGTATAGAAATGTGTTTTCAGAATTTTGGGAACTCCCAGAACAATTTCAAATCTCCCAAAACAGTTTCAAATCTAAGCAGTGAAACTGTTTTATGAAAATTCAGTTATAAAAAAACTTATTTTCAGATAACAGTTTTTTATAATTCTTTGAAAATTGTTCTCGGTTTATTTTATGAGTTTATGAGAACTGTTCTCAGAGTAGAAAATCAAACTAGCTCAAAGCTTTCGAAACTGATGTATTCCCAGCGAACTGTTCAGATACAAGCCTGCAAAGAAAGAGATATACATACATACAAATAGTAAAATTAGTATTCTTAGGCTCAAGTGTGTGAATGGCAATGAAAATGGTGCTTGCCGTGGAGACGTCACAACAGAGAAAATTTCCATTCCTTCTCCATCTCCGATTTCAGTGAGTACGAAAATTTTGGGCACGACGAACAAATGACTAGTCTGAACTTCTGCATCCAATACTCGTTTCCCGGCAATACCCACAAGGGCCACAACTTGAACTCTTCCACTTCCTTTCACAATGTAAGTCAATTGGACTGATGAATCAATAGTGTACATTGGTGAGGACATGGCATTAGCATCCAACTTCACCACATTGGCACCAAGTCCAACTTTTCCGAGCAAAGGAAGTTTATCCGCGGTCATAGTTGTAAGCAATCCGCCATCCTTGACGTTAACACCAGGCAATGCATTGTCAAAGTTGAACACCATCTTTGTATGATCAACAGTGTCCTTGCTTGGTTGAGGCATGGATATTCCTTCTTTAACCTTGATTATTATGAAACTTGTTTGGCTTTTCAGGAGCTCATTTGGTTATTCTTCATTCAAAAGAGTGCCGGCAAGAAATAAATAAGTCCCGGACGTGTGAGCCTTAGAAGTTTATCCTAGGAATACTAGCACTAGTTCAGAGTCTCCGCCGTTGAACCACCAAGAGACTACTCCCATTGGTACTGGAAATGCAGAAAAAGGTGTACCTATTCTTCCTAGATCCAATCACTCGGTTAACACCGCAAGATTTTTTCATTTCCAACACGGAAAAGACGAATTCTTATCTCCCTTTATAACTGTCATGACATTTAATTTCTTCCTCTGATGTGTTAGGAAATGCCATTCCAACAGTGCCCTTACCTGTGAGACAAAGTCATGAAAATGTTTCTTTAGGGTAGGTTCAATAATTTTAACGTAGGACTGAATTTTTGTCAATCTAAGGAGTTCGTTTTTTACCCGAAAGGAGTGTTTTTTTAGTAGAAACAATCCACCGAGCAAAACCCAAAGTTAGTGATTCATATCAATTTTTGGCTGAAAACTTTCGTTTAAGACTCCAAAATCGTGTTTTTGTATAGTAGGTTTTAGTAATTAGGTTTTATTTTTCTTATTTTTACCCATTTTTTGGAGCAAGGATTTTGAGTGATTTCTTCATTTTTATGGATGTGGCTTCTGTTTCGGATCAAAACAAAAGTATGAAATAAGTGCAGTTGCCAAACGGACCTTTAAAAAAGGTATAGCTAGGCGAATGTTGAACTCTTTGAAGTCCCGATTTGGGTTTATGTGCTTTTTGACATTCATAAAATTCTAATAATTAGTAAAAAGAGAAACTGATCCATATGATCAGTATCTTGTCTTTGGGGGCAATCTACTTGGTCTCTCTGGCTAGTTCAAATGTGGGTTTAAATGAATGATCCACGTAGTTTGCGGCAATTGCATGAATTTAGAATTTGCAAAATCATTCCAGAGTTCAAAGTAAGTAGAGAGTGAATTAATTATATATTCTTTTTTCTTTAAAATTTTTTTTTAATTAATTTTCAAAATACATGAAACTAAAGGAGAAGGTTAGAAGAAAAGAAATTAAGCTAAAATATACATACATACTTTGTAAATACTCATCAAACGGTTGCATGAAATTAAAACCTTAAAATTGAAATTGATAAAATTTGACAATTAAATAGCTAGGAATTACGTGATGAGTAGTTTACCTTGAAGAACATAACAAAACTTGGAGCAATCCGAATAGTGAGGTAAAGCAAATCCACGAGGACTCGGTATGAGACGTCCGGCACCAAACTTAGGCTCACTAAGCAATGGAGAGCTGGAAGTTGGCATGCATATATGATCCACAATCTCCATCATATATCTTTTCATCTGCCATCTGGACTGCAGCTAAGTTCAGCTCCATTTATAAATACTCTCAACTATATATATATATATATATGATCAACACCTCTCTCTTAAAAGGAAGAAGTATTTGGGAGTTCAAGGTCCCAGGCCAATGCTCATGGAATTGGAAGAAATTGCTCAGCCTCCATCTCGATCCACAACTGATCTCACTTTCAGGCTATATATCCCAGCAAAACAAAGGTAGGATCCTTCATAACCAATAACTCTTGGTCCTTTCCCCTGTCCATACTATCCATCATTCCACAGCTACAGCATATAACCAACCTTCCCAACCCTCAAACCAGCTACAATGACAAACACATTTGGATACCCTCGCCCAATGGTCAATCTTCTATTGCACACACCATGGAACATTTCAACAAGCATCTCCCAACCCTACCTTGGACTCACTTAGTATGGACCAAACCCTCTATTCCCAAAAACTCTTCATACTCTAGGTGGCAATCCAATAAATTAAGACTCCCTACTTTGATACTTGCTGAAAAATCTGCTTGTGGCCGGAGACTTTGGAACTCCAGTAGCATGCCTGAATAGATTCAAAAAATTCTTTGTTTTGATATAAAACTTTAGGTGGAAGAATCCTTAGAAGTCATTTTTCGAGCCATATAAAATTCGGGTTCATCCAAATTTTGTGCAGAGAGTTATACCTTTTTGAGTGACAGTAGGTTTTGCAGTTTTGCTAAATGGGAATAACAATTAAATTTGAAGATTCGGTAGAGGACCTAAATGAGCCCATAAAATTACTCCGTATTATATTTTGGGCGGAGAAATCCCTAGAAGTCAGCTTTCCAACCATATAAAATTCGAGTACATCCAAGTTTTGTGCAGAAAGTTATGGCTGTTTAAGTGAAAGTAGGTAGGTGTTGAAATTTTCTGGGCAACAATGAAGGTTAAGGGTGTGTTTGGCTAGGCTTCTCCCTACATGATTTTGAAGCGGGAGATCATGCTTATTCTGAATTTTTAGGCCACTGTACACGGAGTGCTTTTTAGTACCGTGTAAAATAAAATAAAATCGCACCAAACATACTTTTGTTGCCAAAATTGACACTTTAGTCGCCCAAAAACAAAAACAGCAGAAACAAAATGCATGCCTAACGAAGCCTAGGGGTATGTTTGGCTAGGCTCCCCACGCGTGAGATCATACTGTAGTGCAATCTAAGGCTTCCAACTCAAATTAAAACATAAAAGTGCCTCAAAAGCATAATATAACACATTGTATGGAATTCAAATTCAGGACCAAAAATTGGGTTCTACACACCTTATTTATTTTTTTTATATATCATATCTTTGTAAAGACATTAAAAAATATAACAAATAATATAATAAACAAGAAAATGTTACAAACAATAAAATAAATTCTAATTTTATGCAAAATGGTACTCACAATAACCATGAAGAAATAAACTAAGTAAATATAATTATTTAATAACCAACACATTATTAGTTCATCACAAATTTTTTTTTTTTTTAAAAAAATCTAATTCATATAAACAACTATATTTATCAAAAAATAAATAAAAAATTACTCTCTCTTTTTTTATCTGTTAATGATAGCCTATATATATATATATATATATATATATATATATTAAAATATCACATAATACATTTATGGACAAGCTTATATCCTAAAAGTGTTACAGGTCATTTTAACTTTCAAATGCTAAGGGTCTGTTCCTTATGAAAATATCTTTATAGTATTACTAAAAGATACATATAAACTTTTAAAAGATCTTAAAAAAATAAATTAAGATTTATAAATATCTACAAAGATAAGAATCTATGTAATTAACCAGAGTTCCATAAATATATATAACTTTCTTCACACTAAGCATCAGCTAACCTTGAATGAGAGAGAGGAGCAAAAGATCATTAAGGAATTTGCATGTGCTTTCCAATGTTAGGAATTTATATTTATATACTAAATAACAGGGGTGTATTTTTGCGCATTATTTATATAGCCGGTGTTTTTTTTTTTTTTTTTTTTTTTCATAAATATATATTATATTCTTTGCCAATATGTAGTCATCAAATAAAAGGTGTTTAATTTCTTCCAATTAAGTAGCTAGCTAGGAATTACACGAGTACTTGATTTCTACTTCACTATGCAGATTGCTCCAAGATTTTTTATTTTCATTTATGTATTTTTTAATTTACCTTTCAAAAAAATCTTAGAGCAATCTGCATAGTGAGGTAGAGCAAATCCACTGTAGAATGATCCACCATCTGGGCTACTCTATATCTTCCCTTCAACACACCCTATATATAAAGTTTATATCAAGTCATCAGTATATATATGCGTATGTGTGTAGATATATATCGAGAGAGAGATGCACCTGAATTATTTGAATACAGAAGAGATGCATGAAGTATCATGATTCTAGTTCCCAGTTCCCACTATAAACAGATGACAACATTTTTAAATATCATGAATCTTTTACTTTACATCCTACGGATCCACTCGAGCCTGCACTCCCATGATGCCCTAGCTAAGGTGAGATTTGTTGGTAGCATTTGCCACAAGCTAAAAATTGTAACGCACCAAAGTTGGTGTTGAGCGTTTGAACCCATTCAATGTGAAATGGACAAATTCAGGATGATGTCGCAAAAGCAAACGGACATTATTTGGACTTAGTCATGTGTGTAGACCTGTCAATTGAGCAGATCTTGATTCGAATTTGATTCGATTAGTCGGATATGAATTGAACAAAAAAATTGATAACCTGATTACGATCCGAATCTGATAATCCGTTAGCCTAACAAATCAAATATGGATTATGTTGATCCGAACAGTTAATAATCCGATACGACCGAATAAAATTTTATATATATATATATATATAATTATTTATCAATAATTTTACACACACACACACACACACACACACACACACACATATATATCTCAATACTCCTATCAGATTATATTAGAGGTAACCCAAAAAAACAAAAAAAACAAAAAAAAATCATAATATTATATCTACAATAGTGTGGTGTTCTAATCCATATATTAATAAATCTCCTAATATACATACTAATAATTTCATACTCATTATTATTCATTAACAAAGAATAAATAAATTTTTTTTTTTTCCTTTCCTTTCATATTTTACTTGTCTTTTATTTTATATCTTTTTCTTATAATCATTGTTTTTTTTTTTTTTTTTTTTGACATTAATTTATATTTCTTTTTATTTTTTTATATAAAAAATTATTTTTTTATCAAATCCGATCGGATTATCGGATCGAATATCCGTTTATTAACGAATCGGATTCGGATTAACTTACAAAATATCCGTCAAATTATCGAATCGGATCGAATTGACTAAAATGTTTATCGGATTAGAATCGAATTCGGTATGAATCCGATCCAGTTATAGGCCTACATGTGGGAGTGAAAACTATACCACCCAATATGTCAGTTCTTTACGACACACTATCATTTAATGAAGCATCTATCCTGTTATGACTATTCAAGCCTTAGCCATGCGTGAGTGAAAACTATATACACCTTTACCCTACATTTAATTGAATTTTTTTATTACCCATTTTAATCACTGTTATTAATTTATATCATATCTTTATCCATCATTTCCTCTCAACAAATATATTTTTGTATTTTATTTTAGTCATTTTTCCCCATCTTTATATATTTAAAGTCCAATTTCATAAAATCTCACTAAATTAATGGGGGTTTGGTCAACATATTCATATTACAATAGACACAGTCTTGGTGGCTTAAAAGTAACCAAATGCTATGCTAGCTCTATAAAAAGCTTAACAATCCCAGATTGAAAAACCCAGATCAGAATTTGTCTAACATGGTAAGTACTCTTAAGTTGTGTTTGGTGTTAAGAAACTAAAAAGTAA